TGACACTGCTTTTCTTGCGCAGTTGGCTCATGTAATAAATCGTATGCTTTTCTTTGATTTTGAAAATATACAATTGTTCTATCATGCAATTTTCGTCTACAGCTCTTTGATACTACAGTGGTAATGCGCTTACGAACAAACGCTGGTTTTCATTATCGTTGGGGTGCTATTTGGTGATAATGACAATCACCGAGCTCTACATTATTACTACCAAATGACATCAGGCATCTACTTATTTACTGAGATAGAAAAATTAACATAGCATTGATTCTTTCCATCTTTTATGTGTTGGCATCAACAGTAGTATCAAAAAGCATTTTTTAAACCTTATTCAAAATACACGCTCTGAAAACGAAACAGTTATAATATTTGACCTATGGCTAACCTTCCTGCCTAGATCTATTCTTTCAAACCTTGAAAATATTTCATTCCAGAGACTTTTCAAAGAGGAACATATTATTTTTTTTCTTGCAGTTTAGGATGCAATATACCTTCAACTTCTTTAACAGTGATTAAACTCGTTTCGTCAAGGTGCAAAAGCAAAACGCTAACAAATCGAATCAATAACATTAAGAATTGACGTCAAGTTTCTTCTCCTTATTAAGAGTATTTTACCATGCTCCTGCTCATATGTTAGCGCTTACCGCCTAGAGAATTTAGCTTTTATATAGGGGTGTGACATAAATATAATAACGTCATCGTTTTTTCTTCAGCTAAAGAGACGCACACAACACTATGCTTCGTCTACTTCAATATATGCACAGCTACGGCAAGAAGATCATTTTGTCTCTTCCAAACGTTGCAGAAGCCTCTCATCTGGAATTTTTCATTAATATCTATAAAATTTGTGATCAAAAATGTTAGGAATGTATATAATATAGTACGTACTTGAGAGAGCCTCCGAGATATTAGGAAACTGCTTCTTGAAATCTGCCTTGTCGTTACTAGAAAGAGCTTTGTATCTGGCAACGATGCCTTTAGCAGCTTCTTTTAGAACTGAGCTGCTGGGTTTAGCGTCGGCAAAGAGCTTGTTCCGAAGATTCCGGTTGGTATTTACAATCTCAAAAATCTTTACCTTTTGACGCTGTCAATTCGACGCACGATAAAAATACGAACATAGCTAGTAAAAGACTGCGCTTCAGGTCCAAGTGCGGCAATCTTCGTTTTCACCATAGTATTAATTTTTTCAAGTCCGTCTCCAAGTTTAGCTGATTTCGCCTTGAGAGCGGCGATTACCTTGAATTAATCCATAACAAATTTAGTAGCCTGCAACAACAAGTATTTAAACAATGCCTCTTCTTCGCTTCCATAATTGGTTCTACTAAAGACATCTTTCAAGATAACTTTATCTTCAGCAGAAAGATTGCTCATAAAGTTCCTCGAATCAGGAGGGATGAGTCCTGCAAATGTGCAAGCATTAAGCGTTACCTTCGTGTATACCTGCACCGTACGCCTACCTCCATATTCTTTCGGGATATCCGTAAAATCGAATGCAGAAAGAGACGCAGCCAAAAGGATTATGATAGTACTACGTTGAATCATAGCTTGATCTTGGGACCGCTAAACAAAAAGCACCCAAAAGTTCCACAAGTGTTTGAAGTGCAGCGCTGTAATGGTTTATTTGTTTACAGAATTTAAATACACTATATAAAGTTAGTGGCTGGTGTGTAAATTCTCCAGAAAGACGAGGATCAGGGGGAGTGGAAGGAATGGGTTACTAGAAAAGCGGACATTACTGAATCAAACTATTTGTTCTGAGCAACAGATTTTTGGAGGTTAAGCTCGAGTTTGGTTTTGCAAAGTCATGTAAATATTGCCTACAAAATACTTTGCAGCGTTCAACCAACCAACCGTCTCAGACTGCAAAGAAGATGTGTTTGAAGGCGCCCTGAGTTCGATTGGACAACAATATCCAGTGGCTATCCTTTACGTTCCGCCACGTGGGACCGTAAGCCGTAATAAATACAGGGAATGTAGGTGATTAAAAATTCATGACATAGCAAGAAATTAAAGTGCAAACTTTGTGTAGCCTCGATATTCTGGGATAGGGTAAGTTTTTTTCTTGTTGTGGCTTAACGCATACGAGTTGCCCATTTTAGCAAGTTTTATCATACTTGGTACTGATGATGGAAATGGAAATAGCAAATGTATTTGTTGTCCACAATCTGTTGAACCGATGCTTCTACCAACAAGATGTTCCTAACTGAAGCTGAAATCCTTGGAACCTTGAGGAAGAAAATGCTTTTTTTTTG